GAGAATGTAGAGAAGTTGGGACCAGCGCTAAATTCCTCATCATTCACTAAAGCCTCCATTTGATCTTCAGGACCGGGGAAGGGAGGCTTTAAAATTCCTCTTACTTCTGTTTCAGCACAAGTAGCCGCACTCTGAGTCCCAGTCACTCTGTGTAGTAGCACCCCACAATAGCTGTTATTGTCACTGTGTGGCCAGCTGTGGCTGACAGAGGCTGTCCTGTGCTAAGCTACGTGGTCGAGCATTGTGTCATTATGGATCCCGGGGCCTCTCACCCGCTCCACTGTGCGGCTCTCAGGCCCTGGAATGACACCCAGCATCAGGATTTTCTATGATGTTGAAGATGCTGTCTATCTGTGCTGTCCAACCTTTCTACTGAGCACCGAGGATGTGCCTAGCACTAGTCTGGAACTTAATGTTTTGCATATATATTAAATAAACTCAAAGTTCTGTGACATGAAGCCATTTTATCCACCAATATATTTCATGCCTGGATGTTTTAGGGTATATTTCACGTGGTGAATTCCGTGTCAGGTGGTCATGCGGGAGCGTTGTGAGTTGTGTCATTAATAAAGATGGAAGTGAACTTGTAACAGAGAGGGTTGGAGACAGCTCTCCCGCTCAGCGTCTCCTCCCAGTAAAACAGCAAATATTGAAGCATCAGGAGGCACAAGTTGGGTGACCTGATGTTTGTCTCCTTAGTGGCAGTGAGTGACAAGATCGTAAGAGGAATCTAGAATTCTGTGTGAGGCCCCAGGCCGAAGCGCTGGCATGATCAAAGTACTCACAATGGTCTTATCTTCTGGCCTCGGTGTAGGGAAGCCGCCTCATTCTTTAAATTAGTGCACAAGCTACCAGGCTTGCCCATGACCTCTTCATACATGCTTTGTTTTGGTTGGTCCTCCCAACTCCTTCATCTCCCCATCCCCTCTCCTCCCCAGGCATTCCTCTCTCCACTCTTATGTCAATGTGTTTTATTACCTCCTTCATCCCCAGGTCTCTGTTTTCTCCTCTTGTGGGCTCTTTCCTGGTTTCATGACTTTTACCCACCCTCGTTCCCACATAAACACACATGCATAACAGTTAGAAGCTAAGACCCACACGGGCCTCTATTTAATCAATGTCCCCTAAATTATTTTAAGCCCAGGCCCAAACAAAGCATCGAATAATTAATCTTGTGTCAAGTAAGTGCTCTTGGTGTGTGTGTGTACGTGTGTGTATGCACAAATGTGCTAGCTCTGCATGTATGTGTGTATGAGGGCCAGACATTGACATTAGCTGTCTTATTCTATCATGTTCCTCATAATTTTAAGACAGGACAATTGGCTAGGCTGGCTGGCCAGTGAGCCCCCGGGATTCTCCCATTTTTGTCTTCCAGCACTAGGGTTACAAATGTTTTTATGTGGGTGCTTGAGCCAACTCCTGGGCTACAAACTAAATGCTCTTTAATTAAGAGAGCAAAAATGTTAGCTTTCTGCAATACATATCCATCCACTCTATCTATCCATCTATCCCCTCCTCCTTCCCATGATGATTGTAAGGAAAGTACATATTCCATAAAGAGGGCTATATGTTCTTTGAAATTTAGATGAACTGGTTTTGTCCCAAGTACCAGGCTGTGCTGTGGTCTGTACAACTTGGTTCTGGAAACATGACTCAGGGCACACAGGGTTGAAGAAACAACAGACAGAACATAAAGCTGTGGGGGGAGGGCACCTACTATACCATCAAAAGTTTATTGTGTACACCCTAAAGGGGAGGTCCCTGGAGGGGAGCAGTCTCAGGATTGCTGCAAACATCCAGGAGGAGGAAGCTTGTGGTTGGTGGTTTCTGCACACACTGGTTTTAGCTAAAGGTCAGTCCTTCCTCACTAGCCCGTGGACCAGAGGAAGGCTCTGCCACCCCTCTGAGCCTCACCTGGGGAAGGCTTCATCACTCCCATGGGTCTGAGGCCCTGGGGTCCTTGACATGGACTCCATGTTAGCAATATATAGTCAGTTGGGACTTCATCTACTCCCTACAAGGCTCCATAGATCAGTTCTCCCAGATATAATGGCTTTCCTTTGGTTTCCTACAGCTGAAGATACCGTTTTAAAAAGCACTTCCTAAAAAGCCAGGTCTGATTTGCGAACGCCTGTTTTCCTTGAGCATGGAGCCCAAGGCCATATTCTACACAGCCTATTGAAGGCCAGGACCCCACAACCACACACACACACCCTGCCGCCCCCAGCAACAACAGAAGCAGCACCCCTAATCATTATTTGTCTGAAGAATTTGCCATCACACAACAACCTTAAAAGTTACTGGAAAATAAAATACAGCCCCTCGCTCTGTTTCCTGCCATCGATTCCTGCCCCAGCCTGCTCCAGGGCCTGACTGGACGTCTAGGGCACACTTGCTGGGCTGCTTTACCTGTAGGCCTTTTGCAGGTTTTCTTGCTACCTGGCAATAAGAAGTTTGAACACACGATCTTAAATTTGTAATGAGAAATAACGTTTCACGGAGGTGAAAGTCGCCGGGAAGTGACTCACTTGAACAGTGCTGGTATGCCGTGGCCTTTCTTTCGTTAGGTTAATTGCAAACTTCTCGTTGGAAGCTGTCTTTCATCTTGAGGACTGGTCCAGCTTCACAGCTGTTCTTTATAAATTTCACGTCATCCTAAGGATCTCTGAGGAAAGGTGTAAAAATTACACATTGTGCTTTCTTCTGAACATCTCTTGGCACAATTTCTGTGCTAGAAATAAACCTACCTGAAGCCTTCAGCTGGGCTCCAGGTCCTCCTTAGGACCACCATAACCACCCACGCCTGCCTCTGTGTTCTTACAAGTTCTTAGTAGCAATGCCAGTAGTTACACAGATGGGATGCTACAGCCATACCGTGATGCGTTTGGCCATCATTCTCTGTGTTGTCTTGTTCTACCTCTCTTGCTCGGGAGATCCTTGCTGCACTGTATTCATGCAGCACACATACAAACCTGTAAATCCTCTGGGCCTTGCTGTGGGTGGGGGATGTTTACCAGGTCTCTAGGGGTGGAAATCGGTCTCAGTTTCTGCAGCATGCCAGCAAAATGCCAGGCCTTGTCCATGCCTCTCATTCCCCCTCCGCTCTTCCTCAATCTTCTCTTTTTCTCCCCTCCCCTAATCTCCCCTTTCCTGCTAATAACAGCAACGTGTTTACCGTGCACCAGGCTCTGTACTGAGATTCCAAGTTCTATCTTAATTGAAAGGAAGTACTGTTATAACCATCATGTTTTACAAAAGATGAAACGGAAATAACCAAGATGCTGAGCAACCTGTCCAAGGTCCTACAGAGCAGGACAGGCCATCGGCTCTCACTGTCCACATGACTAACCGCTATGGGACGCTGCCTCCCGATTTACTTCTGTGAACTCTGTGATTTCCCGTCTGGGCCGCTGACCTCAGGATGTGACTGGATTCTGACCCACATGCTGTCCTTCCCAGTCCCTGACTTGTTCACTTCTTTCTCTTCATCACATACAGTCAGAAGGGTTATTGTTACCGTTCACAAATAATAATTAATTGGCAGAGCATTGCGGTGAACACCAGTAATCCCGGTACTGGGGAAGCCGAGGCAGAGGACCAGAGATACAGGTGATACCTGCTGGATGTGGTGCTACAGGCCTTTAATCACAGCACTCGGAGGCAGAGGCCATTCAAGGACAGCCTGGGCTACTAAAGCTTTGTCTCAAGACACTACAAATAAAAAACGCATAATTTATATGTAGGGAGATATATTTAAGTGAGTCAAAGATTCAATTAAAAATTGTATTGAAAATAACAAAGTGAGATCGAAAATGGCAACTAGAAAGTGGAAGGCAGCAGATCACAGCAGGCTGAGTGCTCTGGAAACAAAAGCACACAAGTGGCCCAGGCTCTACCGTGTACGAATGAATCATGATTTATTGTGAGCCTCAAAAGGGTAATAATTCTGCCATTGGCTGAAAGAGCAGTGCTCCGTGCTGTGAGAACCACATTAGTAACTCTGCTGAGAGTCTATTCTAGAAAATAGGAGAGGGATAACCGATCACCAAATTGGCTTTTGGGTGTTATGTCACTATCCAAATGTTTGTTTCAGAGTATGGTGCGTGTGTGCGTGTGTGCGTGCGTGTGTGTGTGTGTGTGTGTGTGTGTATGTGTGTGTGTGTGTGTCTGTCTGTCTGTCTGTCTTTTGACAAGGGGAGCCTAAACCGAACTTTTACATATTTACATATTTACTTTAATTTTCACTTTTCCCTCTTCGAGGCTAGCGGCCCCTGCGCCCCTGGGAGCCCGGTCTCCGCCTGGGTTTACACGGCTCCGCGTCCAGGTCCTGCTACATCCTCATAGCGACGCCAGCAAACGAGGGGCAGCTTAGCTTTAGGTTCACGCCGGGGAGACTGGGACTTGAGACAAAGCGTGACGTCGAATGCCACCTCGCTAAGTTTGGTCGGCAGTCTTTGAGGTCGATGCCAAAAGGAAAGGGAGAGCTGCCGAATTGCAGGGGCAAGGAAGAAAAGGGCTGGAGGATGCGGGCATCGATCCCGCTACCTCTCGCATGCTAAGCGAGCGCTCTACCATTTGAGCTAATCCCCCACCGCTGCTCACAACGCTTTATCTGTTCCTCTAGAGGCGGTCGGGAGCACTGCTGGACAGAAATTAAAGCTTGAACACGCCTTCCTGCTGGAAAACCAAAAGGTGAGCTCCTTCCTTCGAGCCGGAATCGAACCAGCGACCTAAGGATGACCGCGAACGTACGCCTACAGTCCTCCGCTCTACCAGCTGAGCTATCGAAGGGAGCGGGAAGCGGTCTGGCGGATTGGCTCCATAACGCCGCGTCACGGCCCCGCGCGGCGCTCGCGGCGCATCCGGGCGGCTGATCGAGAGTCGTCCGGGAGCCTGGAGCCGGGAGCTCGCAGACCTGTGCGGCCACGGAAGCGACCCTCGTGGGCGGTGGGCGGTGGGCGGTGGGTGGTGGGGCGGCGGGCTAGGGGCGGCGGGCGCCGGGCAGCCGCACTCGGGAACCTGTGTGAGCACGCTCGCAAAAGTTGCGCAAGCGCGGAAGGGGTGGCCCCCAATCTGGGGCGAAAGTCCCAGAACTAACAAGAGGGATGGGGAAGTTAATGGTTGACAAGGACCAGGAAATCATGGGAACCCTGGAGAAAATGTTACGGCCTCCTTCGAGCCGGAATCGAACCAGCGACCTAAGGATGTCTCCTGCCGGGGAGTGAACTACAGTCCTCCGCTCTACCAGCTGAGCTATCGAAGGGACACAAGGGCAGTTCTCGCCCCTTGACCCCGAACAGGTCTGTGGGGAGTTCGGCAAGAACAAACGGAACTGAGCATGCGCACTTCCCAGGCCGCGCAACTTTCCCGGCCGCAAGTCGCTTTACGCACGCGCACAACCTCAGCTCCGCCTCACTGGCCCCCCCATCTGCCAATCTTCGGGAGGCTCGGGTGCTCGTCGGTCACGTGGCCTGCCTGTGGCACCCGGGTGACTGGTGAGGGCTGTCCCATGCTGTCATCCCGAAAGCCCCCACGGCCCCTCTCATCGACGGGCCAGTGGCGCAATGGATAACGCGTCTGACTACGGATCAGAAGATTGTAGGTTCGACTCCTGCCTGGCTCGAGGTTTTTGTCACCTCGCCTTTTAGACCCAAACGCGTCTGAATGGAACCCAGGACCCGGGAACACGCGAGCCCCAAAGAGCAACAGTGGAGTTTGCAGCTCTGCAGAGCCGTGTGCACAAAGCCCTGGCCCCTGCCTCTGCTCTTCTCAGCCCTTGATGTGGAGACTGAACCCCTCCATCACTCCCCCTCCAAACACAATGCAGGGACACTCACCAAGAATACTAAAGTTGTCTCTTTTTTAAAAAAGTAAGGTTCTCAATTAAGTTTTCCTAAAAGTATTTCCCCCCAAGTGGGCCATTCTTGGAAAGTCTAGTGAGTCAGTAAGATGTTAAGTGCTTGTCGCCGTTTTCTGCGATACTGTGTGCACTTCAGTTGTTAGAGATTTAAAAAAAAACAAATCCACCCAGACTCGGGTCTTCGCACCAAGCAGGCGTGAGTGTGAGCAAATGAGCTACGTGGATGTCGCCGCCGTTGACAGCGGCGCTCGACAGTCGGCGTTGGAACAAACCCGGGACCAATGGCTAACTGGGTGCCCTTGGCCATCAGAGCGGCCTGGGGGGCGCTGGTCCTGCCCCCCAGTCCTGGCTCCTCGCACTGCTCCCCCGATCGATCGGTCGGCCCGGGACCGGCGGGCCCCAGGCTTCTCTTTCCCTCTCCGCCGGGCCCCAGGCTTCTCTTTCCCTCTCCGCCGGGCCCCAGGCTTCTCGTTCCCTCTCCACCTCTGGGCTCCTGGCTCTCCCCTCCCGCTCTCCTCGCAGGCCGGGTTCGGTTTGCAGGCCACGTCCGCTCATCTTCAGGATGTCTCGGGCTGTGCTCTCCTTTAGATGACAATAAAGCCCCCGGCCCTTAGGAACGGTCGTGACCCCCTTTTTATTTCTTGACTATTTTAATTGTTTTATTGGCAGTGCTGCGGCCTGCTTAAAGGCGGTTAAAAGAACCTAGAATTTCAGAGGGTGGGGAAGCATAGACTCATTTGAAAACGATGGGAGTTTTTCTTTTTATGTCCCCTTGGTATTTGTCACTTTTTACGTGCAAGGGGCTGGTGTCTTTAAAGTTGTATAGTGTTTCATGTTTTCTTAGAGGTTTTTTTGGGGGGGGCGGGGGGAGTGGAGTGTTGCCCTCCTTCACCTAAATTCATAGACAAACCAAATCATTTAAGAGCAAAGAGCCTCTGATTTTTTTTAAAGATTTATTATTTATTTATTTACTATGTACACAGTGTTCTGCCCACATGTATGCCTGTACACCAGAAGAGGGAACCAGATCTCATTACAGATGGCTGTGAGCCACCATGTGGTTGCTGGGAGTTGAACCTCAGGGCCTCTGGAAGAGCAGGCGGTGTTTTTAACCTCTGAGTCACCTCTTTTTCTTATTTTGAAAGGGTGGCAAACAAGGTAGTTACCTGCGAGTCATTGTCATGGTCATTATTGCACTGTGATCAAAACCATCACACTTAAACAGCTTATCCGGAACAGGAGGGGGCCAGGAAGCCTGTGATTTCTGGCTCTTGTGACAAAATTTCATGTGAGCTACAAGAGGCGATAATAAAGGGCATCCCTAGGAAACCAAGGATGAAATGTCAGTGTCTTGAAGGCCTACCCCTTCTCCTAAGGTCCCAGCAGCAAACCTGACTGGAGGAAACGATAGGTGTATTAGGTTTCCTCACGGAGCATAGGTGAAGGGTATTTACAAGGGTGTGGGACCTCCTTTTCCAAAAGATCACGCCCCATAGCACTGTAACCACGGCCTGAGGACCTGGTGTTTTCTTTCTAAGGACTCTTGTAGCAAAGCCTCTTGTGCTTCGGGGTGTTAGACAGTACCTCTGGCAGAACGCTTTAAATGGCAAAATGAACAAAGAGCACAAAGGTGCAAAATCCAGAGCGCTCAATAGAATGGAGGGATAGCTGTTTCCAGTTACTCTGCAGGAAAAAGGCCTTGCTCAACATGGCCAGGACAATGTGCTCTTACATGCCATACTGCTTACCACTCTCCTAATGAATGGGAAAGGGCTGTACTAGTTTCAGGTTTACAAATAAACTTTAGTAAGTAAGTGAAAGAATTCAGAAGATGCTAACCCCAAACTGCTGCCATAACACATTGCTTGAGCTTATGGCACCTGAGAAAGCTGGGACAGGAAGGAAGTTCCGCCTAAAAACATGCATAAAATTTCCTAAGAGAAAGAGATGCTCAGTGTCCCAGAAAGTGAGCATTCTTAACACCGGGCACTTGGAGTGGATACCAGATGAACCTACAAAGATAACTCTTATTTTTCATTAAATTTTTTTTCAGGTGACTGGCACACAATTCACTGACCCTAGCCCAAGCCTCTTTAATTTGTCACATATCCACAATTTGTCAGTTTTATTTAAAGCATCACTGAAGCTTTTGCATCTAATGGCTTTTTCGGGTCTTTGTTTTCTCTCTGAAGACACACGTGCATAGAACTGGATAAAACTTCCTTTCATTTCTCCTGTCCTGCTGCAGACTGACTTCAAGGTCTAGCCATTGAACCTGAGCATGTGGACGCTTTTCCCGTGATACAATCAGCATAGAAGTGTGTTGCCTCCACAAAGGTGAGATGTGAATAGTGAGGATTAGCTGTATTGTTATGATAACTTAACTCTGAATTACATGTAAAAATCACGACACCAAGAAGATCCCAATGAGAATAGCTCCCAGCCCTCACACCCTTCAAGAAGATTAACTTGTCCTTGGGTTTCTGGCAGATGGCTAGACTGACCTCCATCCAGCTCCCAGGGCACCACATGCTCACTTGGAGTCAGTCTTTCAGACTCAGGGAAAGTGAGGCCCTTGTCCTTGTTTTGTTCTCCAGGTCTGATTGGGGCTTGTGAGGAGGCTCCTGCAGGAAACCTTTCTTCAGGGACACTTTCTCCACCTTCTTATTTAACAGCTGCTGGGCACTACTCCAGAACGATGGAAAGGAAGACCCAAGTCCCGGACCTGATGGAGCACTCGGTTTGGAGAGGCAGACAGACGATAACACATGTTGTACACTCAACGGAGCTGAGGGCCAAAGAGAGAGGTGAGGCACAGGAGATCTGGAGTGTGGAGTGGAACTTCTCACAAGGCCATAAACACAGATGACCGGCGGCAAAGCCAGCTGCTGTGACATGCGTACATTAGTGCACACACACTCACATGCATTCCCTCTTCTAAGGGGCGGCAAGCATTAAAGTTAAGAAAAACTAAGCTTGCCAAGCTCTATTCCCTTTGTATTATGAAAAACTAATAAAAGATTACTAATTTGTCAGTTTGACAGGAGGATGATATATTTTTACTAATGGAAAGTTCACAATTTGTACCTTATTATGTACAATGGAGAAATTGGGTATAATTTCAGTTTTATTATGAATAGATAACATTTAAAGTCATGAAAAGATTTTGCAACTCATTATATGAATGCTTTTGAAATGCCTTACTTTTAGATGTCACAGCAATGTTCTCATCCCAACTGCATGGACTCAGAATAATGGAACAGAATACATTGTTAGATTTATAGACCTATGGTAACCACTTCAAGTTGGGGAGGGATAAATCAGGATGTATCGAATGCAAGTACCAGTCTCACATGAAGAAGTTGTCTGACTTTATAGAATTCTCCATCAGGGAATATCGTACTTGAGCAGGTAGACTTTAAAGGCTGATTACCTTAGTCTAACTGCTGGCTTCCTGTTTTTGTGATTCACGGCTCTCTGATCCCTGATTTTTCATCTGGGGGATGGTAACTGTAGTACTGAACCCAGAGAGTTGCCGTGAGGATTGCATCAGTCAACTTACACAGGCCCTTAGTGTAATCACTGACAAGAGGGGAGTCTGCTTGAAGAGGGTTTCCTTAACATCCTCAAAACATTCTGGGAAATTATGGAAGGAACCTGACACAAATTAGAATTACAATTTTAAAAATAACCATTAGAATTTTTTTGGTGCTGGGGACAGAGCCAGGATATTGTGTATACTAGGCATGCACTGAACCACACCTCTAGAACCAGATTTCTATATAACCAACCACTACAAAAATCTTCTATTTTGAGACAAGGTCCCACTCTGTAGTCTTAGTTGACCTGGAGCTGTATAGACCAGGCTGGCTTCAAACTCACAGACATCTGCCTGCCTCTGCCTCTTGGGTGCTGAGACTAAAGGCTTGCATCACCATGCCAGACCCCAAAATTGCCTTTGAAATAAAAAACAAATAAAACATTCACTCAGAGGTTGTTAACAGCTGCTGGTTGATCAAACAGAGAACATGACAAAGACCTAGCTCTAAGGGGCCACAAAGAAAGGGGATACTGCAAGGGGTGGGAGAGGGGGAGGAGAGAGGGGGAGTCTTCAGATTGCCTCTCCATGAAGACACAGAAAATAAGAGAGACCCCTACCGTTGTCTCCTGGAGCTGCAGAGGGCAGTTGAAGAGAATGGCTGATGCTAAAGCCGGTGACAGGAAAATCGGCGACCTGGGGACGAGTGGCCATGAGGGTAGGGGTGGTTTTCAAGGAGGGCCGATATCACTGCAGATGTGAGCGTCCTGGAGGAACAGTTTAACACAGCGGGTTATGGTGGTCAGCCAGCCTGTTCCTACCGGTTAGCTGGATGGGGCCAAGCTTCGTCATGACCTTCCTGTGCTTAGTCTGAAGGAAAAAGGGATGGTGGTGACAATATCTTGTCTCATAGTGTGCTGGGAGCATTGAGTTAAACCCATTCAAGATGTCGGGGTCAGATACCACACACGATACACAGACTTCTTTTTAATATGTGAATTAATTACATTGTGGTGGCTATTCTTGGTGGTTAACTTGACTGAATGTGGAATTAACTAAAAACCCAGGCAGCCTGGCACACCTGTCATGGATTTATCTTGATTGGATTATCTGAGGTGGGAAGATCCACCCTTGGCAGCCTAGATAACGGACGTGGAAGAAAGTAGCTTCTGCTTTTGCCTGCTGCTCTCATTCTCGCTGGCTAGGTCATGTCCCCGCTGCTGAGGCACCCCGTCAGTGGTCTTAGAACCCGTTTCCTCAGGATTCTGACATATACTGAGGACCAGCTTAGACACCCAGCCTCATGGACCGAACACCCTTTGGATTCTTGAACTTTCTTTCAGGAGACAGCAATTGTGGGACCAACTGGACCATCTATTCATTCTATGTGTTCTGTTCCTCTAGAGAACCTGAATACATACAGCATCATTTCAAAGTACAAAATAAATGCACCCATGACCACACAGCCAACACTTTCAATCCCATTTATTTTTATTTTATTATATTTATTATATGAGAGAGGAGAGGAGAGACGGGGTGGGGTGCATGTGCATGCCATGGCACATGTGTAGAGGTCAGAGGACGTGCAGGAGTTGGTTCTCACAACTACACGGGTCAAACTCGGGTTGTAAGGCCTGCCTGGCAAGCATTTTTACCCACTGAATCATCTTGTTGGCCCCTCAAATCCTCTGTCTTTTAATGTGAGTTTAAGCTAGTAAGTTAATCAGCACATATATATGCTGAATATATGTATATATGATGAATATATATGTGTATATATGCTGAATATATATGCATATATATGATGAATATGTGTGTGTGTGTGTGTGTGTGTGTGTGTGTGTGTGTGTGTGTGTATGTATGCTGATTTTCCCCATTGTGTGGTATCTTTTATATATTGCTTTTAAACTTAGGCTAGCTTCACAGGCTTGCTTCTAAAATAATATTCGTTAGTGTATTCATATTGAATATGTATTCAAGCAGATCACTTTTTAATATAAGAAAATACTGCAGTTTCATCTAAGGAATGAGTATTTGTATCAGGAAAAAAAACAATTACTCTTTACCAAACTCAAAATGTGATAATTAATAAACACTGAGAAAATGACACTTAGCAACCAGACACATTAGGAGTGAGGATTCGGTATCTGAGTTGACAACTCAACAGAGAACAGCTAGCCCTTGCTAGGTTGGACCACTCTTTCTGGCCTGAGAATGAGCCTGTGCCTGGCGGGTTTTAGGCCCTAGAGCAGCTGATGGCCAGATTTTTGGCTATTCGGGATCTCTGCTGGCCGGCAGTGGTGAGCAGAATATGTTAACAGCTGCCTCATGACTGCTGATTTCATTCTCAGAGTGTAATTTGGCGTCTTGGGTACAGCCTTGGACCAGCATGACAATTCCAGAAAGTCACATCATGCTTACCCTTTCATTGAACACACCCCTATTTAGGTCTCCTTTTAGAGAAAGGCTTTTCTCAGAAATGGCATGTGCTGGGAGAAATAACCAATAGGCAGGTATGCGACAGTTTCCTACTTCACTGTTAGCGCCGTGGAAATGCAGATATAAACTCTGATTGGAGGTGCAATGCTAGGAGCCACAGGTATTGGAGTCAGGTGCGACTTGGCAGAGGCTTTGCTTAGCAGAGCCTGTTATTCAGGGCTTGGTCTCAATTCCGGCCATCTGTAGTTGAGAACCACCCAGGAACTGAATGGAGATGAACGGTTTTTTGGTGCTTGGATCTCTGTGCAGTCTGAAAAGGGTTTTGGACAGGAGGATTTGGTTTTCTCAATGGCTTTTCTCTGCTTGGAGAAGAGTGGTGTTCTTGAAACAGACACAGCTCTAAGTACAGATGAAGACTGAGGGAAGACACATTACTCAAGTGTTTGGATAACACAGCTCTATAACCATGTGGCCAGGAGCTGAGTGATAGTGGATATTTCTTCTATCCTACTTCATTTCAGAATATATCACAAAACATTAATATTGAAAAAAATTAGTACACTAAGCTTCCTTAGGAGCAAAGATTGCAGCAGTCTTCTTATTTCTGGTAGACAGAGAATTCTCCATTCTGCAGCACAGGTTCAATCCTCAGTTCACAAATATTCCCTGACTAGCTACTACGTGTCAGGCATAAAACAGACACAGTTCCTTATCTTCAAAGTGCAGAGACAGTACATTAGTGGAATGTTCTACGGAGAAAAAAAAATGGTGTGGGGGCCATACTGACATCTGAGGAGGGCTCACAGAGAAGATATTTAAGAAAAGGTTTTGGGAACAGTGGTTCTCAAACTGTGGGTTTGGACTCTCTTGGTGGGGGGAGCTGAATGACCCTTTCATAGGGATTGATTCATAACAGTAGCAAAATTACAGTTAGAAAGTAGCAATGTAAATAATTTTGTGGTTGGAGGTCACCACAACATGAGGAACTGTATTAAAGGGTCGCAGCATTAGGAAGACTGAGGATCACTGCTCTAGAAGATTCATCTACATCTTCCAAATCCAGCTGTGCTATGGTCTCAGTCTAACTGCAGCTCAGAGCTGTAGCCTAAGAGAGTAGCATGGCATTTCACTCAGGGAAGCTCCAAGCTCTCCCTGCTAGGGTGTGCGGTCTGCAGAGGTTCATGTCTTGGTCCTCTGATGACTTAACAGTCCTTGTCCTGCTCTAGCCTGGCTGTTTCTGAGTGATGGTTTTTAGTGGCACTCTTACCCTGCGAGGTAAAGTCACAAAACATGACAGAACCCACTAGCAAGAGTTTTATTGAGAAAAGGAAAAGGGGTAAATGTGTTCAGGCCTGCCGAAAGGACATGTGAGGGAGAAGAGGGCGGGGAACATGAGACCGGCCTTTTAAGGACCACCCCACACATGTGCACACAGGCCCATGTGGCTACTCCACACATGTGCATAGATCATGTGGTTACAGTGGTGTGATTTACATGACCATGCAGCGTTACGTAGGACATATGACCCGGAAGTGACTAAATGTCCCACCTGGGCATATATGATCTCAGGGCCGTGGCTAGGATTCCTATCACTGAGGATTAGGTGTCTAATCCTGTATGACTCTGAGGGACCACTTCTTTCTGCAGGACTGTGAAGCTGTGACTTACTCTTGTCACTCAGGCATCCGAATGATGGCCTGTTCCCTGTAGAGTCACAAGTCTGGACTACTGGGAATGCCCTCCAAATACCTCAAATCCACATTGAAGTGTAAGGACCTTAACAATCCAGCCCCTTCTCAAGCCTCAGCAGCCACTTTCTAACAAACAGATGCCTGGGT